GCAGGAATCAAAAATCCACACAGAAACGTCGAGTATAACCAAGGGCAAAAGATCAGTAAACCCCTTTCTATTTCCCTGGAATACACTTGATATCCCCTCATCTTGCTGAAAATGGCGTGGCAACGGTTACATCTGGCTCTACGATGGTATTGCCGCCGATATCATCTACTGGGGAGCTGTTACCGCGCTCTGATCAGCCAGTATGGGCCACAGAAGGTTTTTGGAGCCCATCCATTGGAGACATGCCTGAATCTGAGATTCCATCATTATTGCTGTCTAAGAAGGCGATTGCCCGAGATGAGGCCACGCGGGATTTGAGATTCTTTGTATAACTCAACCTCCCTCGTCGCTTCATTCCCTGAACATACAATGAGATGCTACCAATTATGGCAAATCCCATTTGGTAAACAATGAGTGCAACAAAGCTCTGCCAATAGTGCCAGTTTTCAAAACCCATCTTAACAAGAACTGTCTGGCCATCGGCATATACACATGTGGGAGTTACGGGATTACAAATAACACCCAAACGTCTGAACTCATTGGTATAAACACCAAGATACGCGTGACGTGGGAAGGAGAGGTAATTCAACCAAACCCAGTAAGGGTATAGGCGGCTCGTGTTGGCGAACAGTCCGGCAACAACAAACAATGGAAGCAAAATTGTTGGTACGAGTGCAAAGGCTGTGGTTGCGGTATCAAAGAAGGTTGCAAACATCAGACCAAAGGAATAACCCAGTGTTGCAAGGAGAACCAAAATAAACCAATTCACAAAGAAGGCACCCGCTGAACGGTGGAAATGAATCATAAAGTACGAAATGATGTCAAATAATGTTGGGAATAGTATTTGAAAAGGTAATTCTGCCATATACTTTCCAGCAAAATAGACAAATGCATTATAGGAATCATTGGCCTGTTCCTGCAAGAAAACAGCCCTCTCTGGTGGATAAACAGAAATACCATTCATTGCAGCACCCATCAAATTGTTCATTAGAGTCATATAGAGCGCACCTGAACGATCCTGTACACCCTGTTGATTTACCTTCACATTGAAGAAGAAAAGACCCATAAATACTGAGAAAAACAATGTCTGAAATGTTCGACCTATAAAGGCACCTGGATCTCGACAAAACATTCGGAATGAACGTTTCCAAAGCTCCACAAATTGCACGCCGAAACTAGATCCCTTCAGCTTCAACTGTTTCTCCAAGTATTCATCTTGATGGGAAATAGGGCCCTGGACCACCATTAAACATGGATTATTGTTCGCTGCCGGGGACATTACATAGTCTTCCCATGCCAACCAAAGCTGTGATAGTTCCTGTTCTGGAAGCTGCAGAATATTCATAAAATACTCACAAGGATTGGTATGTGGGGGTACTTGATAACCAAGACTGGCAAAGTACGCAACGGAATCTTGTGTTGGACCATGGTAGATAACGTGACCCTTTGCCAGAAGCAAAAGATCATCAAATACATCCATGAGTTCAGATGATGGTGAGTGAACGGTCGCAATGACGGTACGCATGTCATTTCTTGCCAACTCCTGTAGCATTTGCCCAACACGTAAGGCGTTCACAGAGTCCAAACCTGTGGTCGGTTCATCCAACAGCATAACATACGGATTCGTCACAAGCTCTGTAGCAACATTTGCACGTTTTCGTTCACCACCAGAAACCCCCTTCAAAATACCGGGAATACCCAATATGGTGTCCTGACACTTCGTGAGATGGAGACGTTTAATGACCTCATTTACGAGTTCCTCTGATTCCTTCGCACCCATTCCCAGACGCACACGACATGCGAAACGAATAGCCTCGCGAGGAGTCTCTTTGCCCATCACGATATCGTCTTGCGACACGTAGGACACCAGCCTCTTGTAGCGTTGTGAGTAGATGGTGTTGTTGAGGAAGCAGCATCCCTCCAGTGTTGCCTTTGGATTATACAGTTTTCCAGTGATAGCTCCCATGAGTGTTGTTTTACCAGCACCGGATGGCCCCATGATTGCCAACACACGCCCACCAAGAGCGGTACCACTTAAATTATACAATAACGTCTTTTCTGTAACGTTACCGTCATCGTCCTCAACGGGAACTCGATAGGTCAGATTCTCCCATGTAAAGTTCACCACCTTATCGAGCACCAGCCCTTCACTCTCCTGACGTCCAATGGCATCAATATTTGGCTCTGGCATTTGCTTACAACAATGTCTTAGTTGCTTCGAAATAAGGAAAAATAATACCCACTCGTTCTCTAATACTCTGTTTGGCTTGAGATAAGAAGAACAGCTGAAGAAGAAGAAGAAGAAGAAGAAAGAGAAGACGTCTTGACGCAGCGCAATGGGGATAGACAGAGAGTGTGTGTGTTTGTCTGTCTGAAAGAGAACTATTCCAGATACTCCCCTGCATGGTTTGAGGTCAAGGCAATAGCTGAAAATGGGAAAACAAAAAGAAAAAAAACAGCAAAAACAAGGAAAAACCCAAACCAACCCAATAACAAGAGTCACCATATATATATAAAAAACTCCTCCTCTTTGCATATTTGCATTTCCCCAAAGACACACATGGCCTTCTTATTACATGCAACTAGTTTCTACGCAAAGCAATTGCTCCACGTTCCTCTCAGATTTATTTTTTCCGGTTTGAATCTCTCATTTTGCTATAAATGGACGTCTATTTCATTTTTTTTTTTTTTTTTTTTTTTACTTTCTTCTTATATTTTCAGACACAAAAAACAACAAGACAACAAAACAGCATAAAGAACATATATCACACAGGAATAAAAGGAAAAACATGCCTACAGAAAAAAAGGGAGAAGGAAGGCACTCGTTCAACTCACAACACGGGAAACGAAACCATCGCCATTATTTGCCTTCCTTTTGCATCTCCCTCTTCACATCCCACTAAACCCCCAACCCCCCCCTCTTTCCTGAGATCGTTTCCTTCCTCCTGGTGTAGCACATTACATCAAGTGTCCTTTCCTCCGGAGAAAAAGGGAATTCACAGGGAAATCAAACAAAACAAACAAACAAGAAAACAAAGACATACATGACATTGAATCCCCAAGCAGAGAGGTAAACAAGACAAAACAATCACTTCTTGGATTCCTCTGCCTTGATGAGCTCCAGAATACCGTCCTGCATCTCCTTCACGGCATCATACTCTGAGAGACCAAGGCGACGCTTGTTGCTGATGTCGTACACCCCACCGTGGCTCTCCGAGTGCTCGCCCGCAGTCCCCCGCACCTGCAGATTGTACTTGGCCGCCACCTCTTCCAACTTCTTACGGTCGGCGCCGAGCTTCGGCAGCTTGATGTGCACACTGGCGCGGATTGTAGTGCCCAGGTTGGTCGGGCAGAATGTCAGGAAGCCAAGGCGATCATCACGCAGGAACTTGACCTTCTTCTCAATAGCGTTGGCGCCTTCCACAAGTCGACTGAACACTTCCTTCAGATTCCCACCCTTCTGCATCGAGATGATACGCAATTGGTCTTCCTCATTGACCCACACGAGGAATGTCTTTTCATCATTGTGGTAGATACCACGACCAGTTGGCCAGTGATCACAGGCGTGTGCTGCCTGCAGAAAGCGATCACCCTCCTTGAACAGGAAGTGGTCTTCGATCAGCTTGTTCTGCGTTTCCTTGCTCATTCCAGTCAGTGGGTAGTACTTCCCCTGCAGTTCACCAGTCATGGTCTCCAACTGTGCCTTGACACGGGACTCAATCTCTTCATACTGCTCCTTCTTGAGGAGTGGGTTGAACGGATAGCCATCAAGGTTGCGCGCACACCGTACACGTGTGGAGATGACGTACTTCTTATCGGGATCCACGTCAACGAGTGTGCTCAGGTCACCAAAGTCCTTGGGTGGCTGTTTATCACTTGGCTTAAATCCCTGATGGTACTCCTCAATGACTGGGTCAAAGAGAGCCGCAAACACCTTGTACGACTCCGCATCCGGTGCATACAGGCCGATGCCAGAGTCGAGGTTGGCCACACCGGACTGAATGACATCCATCAGCGTAGCTCCCATTGAGGTCTTCTTGTCTTTGAGCTCGTCAAGCACCTTCTTCGTCAGGTACTTCTTCAGTAGGGAGTGACACTCATGGGCTTGATGGAGCTTGTGGTATGCCTCCTCAGCTTTCTTGATTTCATGGTGGGACGCCATTGTAGACGACAAGGTTATTGTTATTGGTAGATATTGGATAAGATAGCTTTTGCTTGTGACAACCAAAGAAGGCAATAGTAACAAGGAAAGGAAAAAAAAAGAGGGCAAGAAAGATACAACCATAAACATACCGAGGATTATATACTAGAATCGCACCGGTTTGAGCCCCTTCCCATAAAAAAAAAAAAAAGATCACCAGCCAATTGAATATTTCTTCCTTTTTTTCACCCCCACCGTTTCAGTCATTACCCCCTGATTCATTGGGTGGCATCATAGTTGTGTGCTTCTTTTGCTGGATTGGCAGTTATGCCAATATAGTGTATGTGAATGATAGCTATGTTGGAGTGGCACCCGACGTAGGACCAGTACTGTGCATCGGCTGACGACTCATGACGGGATACAGGGTGCGTACAAAGGAGAGACATCGATGGTGCGAACCAAACGCCTGACAATCATTTGGAGAAATCATATGGGCGGATATGGTATCGAGCTCACGGCGAGTGTAACCTTGCGCCACATGTGGTGGATCCATTGGCATTTGTATTCTACTTGCATGCGTCACTCGCTGTAGTGTGTCACTATAGGTCCAGTACGTTGTTGGCCCTGGTGTGACGCCAAAACTAAGGAACGGGAATGTGAATGATCCCATTGCTGGTGAGTCTACTGGGCCAAGCGTCAAGACCTCACGCATAGAGTAAAACCCGCGTATGTCACAGAGCCAATCACGATCAACGTGAGGTTCTACCACGGCAATACAGGGACGATACTTGCGTAGTGCATCTGCAACAGACATAGTCTCGCATGGGAACACAGTACTAATGCTATTTGCGACAGCGCCATCCCTCACCAGGTCCGGCAAGAGGCCATGTTGTGCAAGCAGACTCTTTTGCCGTCGCTCACGACTCGCAGCTTGTGCAGGCGTCTGCACGGGGAGGACAGGAAACGGCAACAACTCACTATTATTCAAGAGCCACGCCAAACGACCATTTCCAAAAAAACAAACCACTGGGGTCTCGGTGGAAAACGAAGGTGACGTGCCACCCTGGAGTGGATTGTTGATATTGCCACCGTCAATCGCGGCAGTGATGGCAGTGCGCTTGAATGCCTCCTCGCCTTCGATAATTTCCCCCACACGATGACGTAGATAGAAGGCGAGATTCTGCAAAAACTCTGCTGTTGGTTGTAACTCATCACCAGTCAACATCGTCATTGCACGCAAAGGGCCCATACCATCAAATTCGGTATGCATAACATTTCGTATTTGCGGAAATGTCGCAAAGTGAACACGCTCATTTGGACTAGTACAGCGGGAGATGGGCATCATCACATACTCCTGCATAGCCGCATACGGTGTAAACTCGTAGTAACGCTTCCCAGATGAAGTTGTCTCTGCTGTTGTTGTTGTCGATAGTGATGATGATGTAGCTGCTGGCCGTGGTGGCGCGTATGGGGGTAGACCAAAGAGCTCCCGTACATCAGAATCATGTATTGTACGTTCACGTGCTGTAAATCGCCGCATTCGCCGTATATCACGATCTCGCAGACGACGGATAAACTCACACAATGCGGCTCGACACCACATTGTGTAATCCGCCGCGAAGTCGCGTTGTAATTCTTTTTCTCTATTATCCCGCACACCGCGGTAGCATTCGATAATATCAGCCACCTGCACTCCGCCTGGCTGTATGAAGTGCGCTACACCGCAGGCGGGGCGATAACCTTCGGGCCACAAAGCGATTTGTTCAGATGGGAACATACGCCTCACTGCAGCCTCGTCCAGTCGTGGACCGACAGCCGCAGCGGCTCTAATATGTGTCGGGTACATGATAAGATATCGTACAGTAGAATACAATAGAGGGACGGAGAGGGAGGCAAGTAGTTAGTAATATTGTCGTGTTCTATGAAGTCCTAGACTGGAAATTATATATATATACATATATCAGAGAAAAAGGAAAAAAGAAAAGGGAGAAATATCCATGTTTACAGGTATAATAAAGAAAGAAAAACCCTGGAAAGGATAAATGGGGAAGAGAAGGGAAAGATAGGGAGAGGGAGGAGGAGGAGGAGGAGGAGGAGGAGGAGGAGGAGGAGCAAATGAATAAAAACAATCATTCTTGTTTGCCCCCACACCCCCAACCCCTTTTTCCACCATCCACTATCAACCAACTAACCATCAGTGCGTTCTGTTCAGAGTAGTATCAAAGGAGTTCAAATAATTATTTTCCTTTTTCCTGCACATTCACCTCTGCCATAGCTGAACGAAAAGTAATAAAAGTTAATGAGAAAAAAAAGAAAACAAAAAAAAAAAAATCATAAAGGAAGTGACAGCCACGGACACACCGAACTGAACATCATCTTTCAAGAAGACGAAAGCACATCAAGAAGAGCAAATAATAGCCCAGTAAATGAAAATTAGATGAAAAAGGAATAAGGAAGTGCAACATCATAAACCACACGAACATTTCCCCACCACCTTTATGCTGAAGAAGTGAATGCCAAGGAAAAAGAGTAGTAATGATAATAGGAATACCAATACATTACAATGATAATAGGGCGTACAAGCACCTTTTTTTCACTATTTTCCTCTCTTTCTTTCCCTTCTTCAAGTTCCCTTAACTTTGCCTTCTTTTTTTTTCCCTTTTTTTTAAGATTTTTTCCCTTCGTATCAATTCTCATTTCAATAAAACCTTATCATTTCACCTTTTATTCCTTTTTTTTTTGACCTGGATTGCATATTCTGCAATATTTGTATTGGAAAAGCACTGGCGGCATCAGGTACAGCAATGATACCCACGAAGAGTTAAATCAGTGTATGCAAATTCAAATAAAAAAGAATTTTCTCTACGCATATATATGCAAATCAAAGAATCTTGCAAAACCATATACGTATATATATATATAAGCAATCTTTCTTACCTTATACATTTCCACCTTCTCTCAAGTATTTCATTTTTCCACTCATTTTTTATTGACCCACCTGGCTCCTGCACAACAACCACAGATATATATGGATAAGGCAGGGGTTCATAATAATAACAGAAAAAAAAAAAAAACGCATTTACGCAAACCACCTCACACTTAAAAAAAAAAAAAAAAAACATTTGACAGAAACGTGAAGCACAGTATAAGAGCATAAATACATTTCTACATATCCTAACTCCCCTTTTGAGGCAGAACCCACTCTAATTCTTTATGGGCTTTACCAATTAAGTAGAGCAATTGTATCTGCCCCAGAAGAGGAAAAAAAGCACACATAGCAAAGTCATTGATATAAAACCACCACATATAAACAAAAAACAAAACAAAACAAAACAAAAAAACACACACACAAGCCAACATACATACAAAGCTGAATTAATACATAAAATTGCATCGGTCACCTATCAAAAAAAGGGTGACTCGCTGCAGAAAAAATTAAAAAAAAAAAAAAAACAAATTGCGGCTTCTTCACAGACAAACAAAATCCACCACGTTGCTGGTAAAATAAACGACTTACCGTCACTTACTCAGCAGCGGGAGCTTCAGCCTCACCTTCACCACCCTCCTCCACAGCTTCCTCTGCCTTGATGAGCTCCAGAATACCGTCCTGCATCTCCTTCACGGCATCATACTCTGAGAGACCAAGGCGACGCTTGTTGCTGATGTCGTACACCCCACCGTGGCTCTCCGAGTGCTCGCCCGCAGTCCCCCGCACCTGCAGATTGTACTTGGCCGCCACCTCTTCCAACTTCTTACGGTCGGCGCCGAGCTTCGGCAGCTTGATGTGCACACTGGCGCGGATTGTAGTGCCCAGGTTGGTCGGGCAGAATGTCAGGAAGCCAAGGCGATCATCACGCAGGAACTTGACCTTCTCCTCAATAGCGTTGGCGCCTTCCACAAGTCGACTGAACACTTCCTTCAGATTCCCACCCTTCTGCATCGAGATGATACGCAATTGGTCTTCCTCATTGACCCACACGAGGAATGTCTTTTCAT